ATCACCATTACTATTCGAAACCATTTTCGTCTTTGCAGACATATTCGACAAGAATGGAGAGCTTAATGGAGGAAAATTACTACAGTAGTTATTTTATAAAAGTTGATTTTTCCTTAAACTTTTGTAATACGGTAATACTGTATCGTTTCATTGCAAGGTTTTTTAATTTAAAAGAATACTAACTTTTGAATTACTTTCCCATCTTGGTTAATTATCATGGCTGCATATTGTACTAATACATTTCCAGTACTTCCTGGGTTCGTAGAATTTAAATACGATAACAAACTAAACTTTCCTATTAATGGATGAATCTCAATTCTATCCACTGGACAAAAATTAATAGGATCAAATTTAAAGTCTACATCATTTGACACTAACACTCCATTAGGTAGAATATATCTCATTATAACTCTTGATTCAGCACATTGGCTGTTTGGAAGGCGCTGTTGTAGACGAATTATTGCGGTATCATCGACTGTGGTGTCAAACTCTACGGGAAAAAGATTAGACTCTGCATAAGTTAAAGTTCTTAAAGAGAGTGTAAGTTGTGGTAAAATTAATGCACACGTGATGATTATATGAAGAATGTTTATTATGATCATTTGTTTGTTAATTAAATAAAGTCATTGTAAAGTAATTGTATACGTTTGTGCATATAATTAGATTTTGCTATGACTTTATTTGGGTGAAAATACTTATTATGGGGATTGTTAAAATTTACTATTTGAAATTGTAAACAAATAAAACGATAGAAGGTTGATATTTTTTCCAAGAACTTAAAAAAGTTTACAAATTTTATGCCGGTTAATAATAGATTCGAATATCTCCATTGATTATCTTGTTTATCATCAAGCTTATGGCTTTGCTGTATAATTAAGCCATCATTTTAAAAAAAATGTACATACTAACGTTAATATTAACGTTTAAATATATATTTACCGTTACACGTATTTACATATAATTTTATCTTTAGCCATACCCTTCCATAAATTTACGTATCATCGCCACATGAAAAATTCGACTATAATCGAAGATGGATAAAGCTTGTGGATAAGGTCAAGTAAGCTTATTAATTCTCGTTAATTGAGCTATGATAGTAAAGAAATTCTATTCTTTTTTAATAAAGAAAAAAAAAATGTTATGACTACAAAAGCACCACTGAATTTGTAAAAAAAGAAATTTTTTACGGCAATTGTACAGAATTTATGTCGTGAACCACAGAATTTGTATGTTGCATGGAAGAATTAGCAATTTAATAATCGTTTCTTGTTGTACCGATTATTGGTACAATTTTTTTTATAAACCATAACGATAAATTCGATTCATGTTAAGAATATCGTGTGGGTGAATTCAAATAAGGAAATTTTCAACATACGTAATTGCCAATCATTTCCATTGTTGAAATTTCCTCTATTATATGTGTGATATAGTATTGTGGCTTATTTTTTGTTTACTGTATAATCTTTATACTGTATGCGCAAGTAAATTAATGCGAATGAAATAAAGTGAAAGGGTATTGCATGGTGAC